GTTAGCATCTGCTTTCAGTGGCATGCTGGTACACCTTTAACCACTCATCCTCCAGGGGAAAATGGCCCTAGTTGGTGGCATTTGCAGATTTCCATCGTATATATTCTCTTCCCTACCGCTGGTGTCAGACTGCCAACACGGAGTTAAGGAGAGATGTGCTCAGGGTCACCTGGTAGTTCAGTCGGTTAAGCGTCCGACTCTTGATTTTGGCTCAGGTCATGATCTCACGGTCCTGGGATGGAGCCCGCGTTGGGCTCTGTGCTCAGCGGGAAGTCTGCTTGAGATTCTCTCTCTGCCCCTCCCTCTAGACCTCCCCCTTCTCGTGCTGTTTCTCTCTCTAAAATAAATAAAATCTTTGGGGTGCCTGGGTGGCTCAGTCGTTAAGCGTCTGCCTTCGGCTCAGGTCATGATCCCAGGGTCCTGGGATCGAGCCCCGCATATGGCTCCCTGCTCGGCGGGAGGCCTGCTTCTCCCTCTCCCACTCCCCCTGCTTGTGTTCCCTCTCTCACTATCTCTCTCTCTGTCAAATAAATAAATAAAATCTTTAAAAAATAAAATAAAATAAAATAAATAAAATCTTAAAAACAAAAAGAGAGATGCGCTCAGCCTACTCTCGCTAGTGGACCCAAGCCAGCTTGGGCACACCACGGCTACAAACGCTCCATTTGTCACATTCTCTTGTTGTCATTCACGTGATTCCCTACAGCGGAGATCATACTTTATTCGTATTTCTGTTGCAGGCAGTTAGCACATGGCAGGCGACATGGGCTAAGATTCTCAAGCACCCTTAATGAATAAATGATTTGGGTAGTATTGTATTCTATCTAGCACTTCCCACATACTCTAATTCAGTTACCGCTGAGGAAGTCGCAGTAGTTGCTCACCGGGTTGGAGCTGTGCGCTGGATGACAAAGCACGTGTGATGTGTGGCAGATACCCCGTGTGCTGAGAGTCTCTCTTCACCCCAGCAGTTGGCCCCTCTGGGCACTGATAATGCTGCACTTTCCCAGTCCCCTTAGAGGCTGAAATCCACCCTGTGGGGATGCAGCACTCACTCAGCAAGCCACTTGGCATGGGTACCTTTCCAACTTCATGAGAAGTCAGCGAGGGGCTAAGTTAAGGTCAGAAAGGACACATGTTAAAAGCAAACCTTTAAAGATGCCCTAGGTCTGTACATGAGCCTCTTCCACTTTGAGGAAAACTGAATGTGCAGGATTGCCTCGACTCTGGGTATATTAGCATCATAGCCCAGGCATAAAAGAAGATCAGAACTTAAAAGTTGAAGAGAGAGAGGGGCTCAGAAAAGAAGTGGTAATTATCACAATGGAAATGCAAAATGAAATTTTACTTAAAATGACTGCTGCTTTTTAAACATATGAAATGTTGCCTTTCAGTTAGGGACTTGGAGGTTAAAATGTTCTGTTCTTTTCTGTGAAAAATGGTTATTTCAGTTTTAGAGTGAAAGATATTTTATGTGCCTTCATTATTTGATATGCTGAATTTTAATTTGAGCTGCTGTGGTCATTGCCACGACTTAAAGAGAGCAAGTATGTTGAATGTGACATTGTATTTGCATGTTGCAACTGGTAAAATTCTGAAAAACATGCCTTTTCCTTGATCCTTTCATAGAATATGGACTATGAGGACTTGCAATGGAACAAACATTATTTGAATATTTCCAGTTTTTGTGAGGTTATCCAAGTGTGGCATTAGCTTAATTTTGATTTTGAATATTTGGAAAATATTGAAGGCAATATCTACCTTGAGAGATACTCATTTTGAATGTCTCTTCACACTGTTTATGATTAGGTTATTTTTGATTTTTTGAGTAAATGTGTTCTAATTTTATAAAAGTAGTAATAAAACTTTTTTTACCTCTCTGTGTTATTGAGAAATTTAAAAAGAGACAGCAGTTCTTCATTAAGAAAAGTGTTGTCGGGACGCCTGGGTGGCTCAGCCGATTAAGTGGCTGCCTTCAGCGGCTCAGCTCATGATCCTAAGGTCCTGGGACCGAGTCCCGCATGGGGCTTCTTGCTCAGCGGGGAGCCTGCTTCTCCCTTGCCTGCTGCACCCCCTGTTTGTGCTCGCTCGCTCGCTCTCTGATAAAAAAAAATAATGTAACATACTGTGAATCACCATTTATTGGGAGTACACCTATGAATACAATGAATACATAAAGTAGAATAATCTATTACATGCTCTTCAGTAAGTCATTTGATCGGAAAAAAAATTAGGAATGACAGACTGGCTCTGACTATCAGAATGTTGATTTTACATTTCAAATTTAGAATTTATTTGCACATTTTTCTGAGAATCAGTTAATACTGAGCTGAAAAGGACAGATCTATATAATTTCTTTCTCTCCCTTTCCAATTTAGTTTTACTTTTCTTTGCTCTGGTTGTGGTTTTTACAAGGCTTTTATTGAAAAATGTCTGGGAGATTATCCTTCTTATATATTTTTCACTTACTTTATTTTATGTTTTCCCTTTCTCATTTCTCTTAAATATATAGTTTTATTTCTAGTTATTCCTTTTTGCTGCTTTTCTTACTGTGCTTCTAAATATAGTCACCACTTTTGGAGTTCACCCACATTTTACATTCTTTGTGTCTGTTGGATGGATTTATGATCTGGCCATACTGTGTGTTGGAGAGGGTCAGAATCTTTTCCATCACTTAGCACCTCATGACCCCGGAGTGGACTGGGTCAAACAAACTGGAAATATTAACTATAGAGTAGGAATAGCACAGTGTTAGACTGAAAGAATTTAACAGAATAACGGAAAATATATAGATAAGAAGAAAAGCCACCTTAAGGAGACAAATTGCCATCCCACTTTTTTTCTTTTCTTAACAAATGTTCCTTAATAGTCTCTTGATCATAAATTACCTAAAATGCAGCACAGGGACATCTGACTTTTAGATGGTCTCTAGGAAAGGATTTATTGTATAAAGCATCTTTTTTTTTTTAAAGATTTTATTTATTTATTTATTTGACAGAGACATGGTGAGAGAAGGAACACAGGCAGGGGGAGTGGGAGAGGGAGAAGCAGGCTCCCTGCAGAGCAGGGAGCCCTATGCGGGGCTCGATCCCAAGACCCTGGGATCATGACCTGAGCCGAAGGCAGACGCTTAACGACTGAGCCACCCAGGCGCCCCTGTATAAAACATCTTAATTACAAATCATAGGTAGTAAATATTGTTAGAAACCCAGGATAAAGTTCGAGGCAGGGATCCAGCACACACACTGTTTTCTTCTCAAATGTTCTGGCCAACAGCATGTAATTCAAGGAACCTAGTGGATGAGAATCCATGGTTCCACTTAATCATTAGAAAAACTGGATTGGAGAGTGGTTTTCTCTCATGCATTGAAACTTCCTCTACTCATCTTCAGGCAGAATAGCTGCTAGTAATAAGTCCCGCCAGGCAGTATGTTGGGAGATACCTGCCATGGTGTGGCTGCCACAAGAGAGAAAGAAATGGTCAAAAATACAGGCTGTGTTCAGGTCAGAGAGACAGGGTGAAGAAGCCGGCTTGCTGGGCTGCACCTTCTGGGGAACACCTATGGTCGTGTGAGGTGGGTGTGCCCTAAGAGCATTTTTGGCAAATTCACCCCCTCGGGAGAAGAAAGTGGCCCGTTATGTTTTCCTTTTCCTTGGGGAGAGAGAAAAGCAGAGGATTTGTTTTTTTGTTTGTTCGTTTCTTTTTCCTCCAGACAGTTCAAAATTGTGTGTGTTGATGTGTTTTCTTTCTTAGAGAAATGTTAGGGTGGTGATTAATTGTTTGACTCTCACCAAACAATGAAAAAGATTCCAAATCACATTCCTGAATGTGAGATGAGAAAAAGCAGAACTCTTTCCTTCCCAAAAGGTCAGAAAGCTTGTCCTCATCACAGATTAAAAGACCAAAACTTAAACCAACTAGCACTCAGGGGCTGCAGTCTCTGAACAAATTACCCGACTTAAGTTGTTCATTTGGATTAGGAACATTTCTGATATTATCTGAAAAGAATATTTTGTTGTATTTGTTAGTGGCAGTAGAACTGGAAAAACAATCTTCTTGTGTTAACACTTTCTACAAAGTCCCATATAATGTATAAAAAAAGATATCTTAGCCCCTTTACCTTGGATTATAATAATCTTAAGAAGAGAGGTATTTTCCTGTGATGTGCACTTCTCCAAACATGCTTTGGGAATTTAGTAAAAAATAAAATAGATTCACTAAAGATCATATAGTATTATTTTTAAAACATGATAAAAAATGTTTACAGTAACAATAACCTGCATAGACTATTTTTTTTTTCATTTGGAAAATACAATAAGTGGTTGAAGTTACTCAGACAGACCCGTGTGTAACTTTTTACATAAGTACTAAAATACAAACCATGCCACCATCTCTCACTAAATCCAATGCAGTAGTTTTCCATTTTCCCCTCTAGAACTTGTGAACCAGCAGAAGATGAAAGAGTATCAAGTGCTAAAACAAATGTTTTATGGCCATTAAATAACATACCTGAGGTTTCAGGGAACTTAGGGAGTTGAGACTCCCTAGTTTCATCACTTCAAGGGAGAACTTTAGAAAAAGCAGTTTCCTAAAGTAGTCTTCTCAGCATGGAGTCCGGAAATGAGTAGAAAATCCTGGTGACTCACTTGATTCTTCTTGCCAATACACACTCTCTCTGTGTAAACAGAAGAGAAGGGAACTCAATCAGAAGAGAAGCATAGGAACCTACCCAGTCAGCTCCATGATTTTTCTCTTTACCCACTTCCCTTTGGAAAAATCTCGAAAGTTGCGCTTTGGCATTTTGGGGACCTCTCAAGAACCACATCCAAGTATTAATGGCCAGATGGATAGGTTTTTAAAATTAATTCAGAGATAAATCCACCGGGGGGGGAGGGGAGATGGTTTTGCTTACTATAGTCAGTTATATATCTAAACTTGTAAAATAATTACAGTTAGATAAAAGGTCACTGACTACTTAACTCTCTGTTTTAAAATATAGGAGCGACAGCTGCAGCCCGGAAGGAGGTGATAAGGAACAAGATCCGAGCAATAGGCAAAATGGCCCGAGTGTTCTCGGTTCTCAGGTGGGATCATTGTTCTGGTATTTCTGTTTTGAATGTGATTATGTGTCACTTAATAAAAATTCTAATACTGTAATCTGGTAACTTAAGTACTTTACTAGAAAATTTGCTTTTTTCTTATTCTTTTCTTTTAAATGGGATTGTTCATTCCTCACTTTCTTAGTCAAATTGAAATATATCAAATCATTTCCTTAGAAGAAGCCTTTAAATGGGCTAGTTCACGTTTTATCACTATTTGCCCCTGGACTTTAGGACATTTATTTCACAATAGGTTGAACTTGTGGCGAAATAGGAAAGCTCTTATAATTCATTTTATTTTTCATTCTGGCTCTGTGGTAAAAGATGAATTTATCAGGTGCATTTCACTAGATTTCTAGGAAATGAACATTAACCATTGAGCTGGTTCATGTGAATCTGTATTAGTCTAATAAGTCATTGAGAGAAAAACAGTTATTTAACGTTTCAATTCGCATGCAGTAGTTATTTTTTAAACAGATCATGAATCATGTTATTACTAATCCTGCATTGTGAAAACAAATGTTTTCTTGAAGAGAATTAACTACACTTTTCTTTATTTAAATTCTATTATCTGCTATTAGGTAAGACAAAGTAATATATTTCTCCTCAAAAACTTTGAAATATGGCATATTTCTATGTGAGGAGTATATGGTCAATTCACAATTACTCATTAACAAGGATAAATAGGCATACCTTGCAAAACAGACCATTTCCATAGTGTATGATTCATAACCAAATTTTTGCCAAATTTTTGTCTCACCTCTTCCTCCTGGAGTAGCTATATGGGCTCTTTGGATTTCTCCTCTTGCTGTGTCTAGTCTACTCCTGGTAGAGTCACTAGAGAATAACCAAATAGCTTGTTGCCAAAAGTGAGGAGCCATGAAAAAGATGAAAGGCAGTATCATCCTTCCTTAAAGACACCAAATCAAAGTCAATAATAGCTCTGCATCGGCCAATCGAACCCTGAAAAGTCATGTGAAAGCTGAAAACAGAGCATCGTTGCTCCTTACAGACTAATGAATGAGCCTGCCTGTGCTGTAATGCTTTATATTCCTGACTGAATTTCCAGGACTCGCTCACTCATTCAGTAATAGATACACATTTAAAGCATTGATTATATACCATGAAGAGAAAAGGCAATATAGGGGGATAGCAAGTGGGAGATGAGGCACTTATTTTAGTGGGTGGCCAACAAAGAACTTTCTGAATAATAGCATTTGAGTAGGAAGTGTGGAGTGACCTTCATGAAGACGCAGAGTTAAGAGTGTTTAAGGCAAAGGGAATAGCAGGTGCAAAGATTCTTAGATAGAAACCAGTTTAGCAGTTTTGAGGGCCAGCAAGGAGGTCTGTGTGGCTGGAAAAATGTCTTGTGGGAGCGAAAGACCATGTGAAGATCAGAAGAAAGACCATGTGAAGATCAGAAGTCCACTGCAGAATCACTTGCTTGTTTATCATGCCTCACATTTACCAATAAACACCTTGATTTTTTTTTTTTTCTATCTGTAGTCTCTGTGGGGAGAAGTAAAAACAGCTCCAAAATTTCCAAGTGAAAGTATAGTTAAGGAAGAAGGGGAAGCCTTTCTTAATATAAAAATTTGTCTCCATCCATGTTAGTTTTCAAACCATATGAAGGTGGTAGGGGCCATGCTATAGAATCATAGGTAGGTCTTAAACTTGGAAAGTGCTTCCAGTCCCCTGCCTCTATAGGCGCATAGATGGAATTACTCCCAGCTGAGAAATGGTCCGTTTGCACCCAGTGATAATCAGTGTCTTGACTGAGATTGCACACATTGATGGAAAATAAAAGCAAGGTATATTGTATTGCTCTCCTATAATAAAAGCATTTATAGTAACTCTGCAGAATGCAGGGGGTGTCTAGCCTGAGAAAAGAAGGTGAAGCTTAGTAAGTAATGATTGAGTGTTAGACGTGTACGGTATACCGAATCAGGCACAATGAATACCAAACTGGAATGACAGACATGTGGACTCTAAACTAATATAAGACAATGAAATGTGAGCTAAATACATGAAGAGATGCTCTGTTGTCAAAGAAGACAGGGCTCCATGGAGCTCTTCTATTTCCTGAAAAAATAAAACAAAAAAGTTCCTGAAGAGGTTGACATTGAAGGAGCGCTGTGAAGGATGGGCTGGATTCCATTAGGGGGTGAATTGTGGGACAGGCATGCCTGGGAGCTAAATCATCAAGCACGCAGTCACATGGTCCTAAAAGCAATGCTTTATGGGCTCTGGCTAAGTGCCAGGTGCCCTGCCTCGTAGTGTATGCATTTGACAGTAATCCACACAGCAAGCTTGCAAGTGAAGCAATGTGTCCAAACTCAGTGTGCAGCACCACTGAGTGTCTGACTAGATTCTAAGTATTCAAAAGAGCTGGGTCTTAAGACATGAAGGTAAGTGAGGAATCTAGGGAAAAGTGAAGCTGAAAATGTATTTAAGTCCAGATCCTTGATAGCCTTGAATAGCATGGTCATGGTAAAATATTTAATTTTTTGCATGGAGGCAGTGAGAGCCACAGGATGGTTTTCATAGGATGGGAGGCATGCTCTAACCCATGTTTAGCTATTATGTTAGTGGCAGCGTGAGGACTGGATAACAAGACAACTTACTGATGTCAGGGAGGACATCTTGGAAGCGACTGAACTAATCCAAGCCAATTGGGCTATAGGAGGAAAGATACAAAGGAAGAGACAAAAGGAATTTGTGGAGCTGGAAAATTTTAAATGTAATGAGTGGATGTGAATGGATGCAAATGTGTCAGGCCCAGCTGTCCAGCATATCCCTTACACTGTGGTAATTTGCCACGTTACAAGGGAATCAGAACACTGTCTTTCAGCAGCGTGGGCAGGGTGGGTGCAGGCGTGTTGCCTACGATCCACCAATTAAATGAATGCACAGAAAATGTCTGTTTCAAAATGAGCATCGTGGGGCGCCTGGGTGGCTCAGTTGGTTAAGCGACTGCCTTCGGCTCAGGTCATGATCCTGGAGTCCCGGGATCGAGTCCCGCATCGGGCTCCCTGCTCGGCAGGGAGTCTGCTTCTCCCTCTTATCCTTACCCCTCTCATGTGCTCTCTGTCTCTCATTCTCTCTCTCTCAAATGAATAAATAAAATCTTTAAAAAAAAAAATCTTTAAAAAAAAAAAAACAAAATGAGCATCGTGAGGAGGCAGGAAGTGATGGAGGGACGGTGATTCCTCTCTCAGGTGTGAAACCTGAGGGGCCAGCAGAAGAGCTCCTTTCTCAGCATTTTGGGGGCTAACTATACAACATTAACATGAGCCTAGGTGTTGGCTCTGAACAGTGGCGGCAGCAGATTCCGCAGCGTGGATGGGCACCAGTACTTTTCTGGGCTGCAGAGAGTTCCAGTCTGGCTCTCGGGATCTGTGAGCTCTTTCATATCCTTTAGTACATCTCTCTGCTGTCAGAATTGGCCAGAGTAGGTTCTGTCATTTGCTCCAAGAATTCTGACCTATGCAAGGGGTGATGAGGGAGAGGATATGTTCTAAGAATTTCCCATACAGATTCTAGCCTCTGCGATGGATAGGATGATAGTGCTGTTATCTAAGAAAGAGGAAGTATTTCTCCATTTAAATATCTAACAGGTATTTTGGGGGAGGACTACGATAAATTGAATTGGGCCTATTTTCCTCTGGGGTGCCGGTGGAATATTCGTTCAGAGACAGGCAGGAATTCTGCCCTGGAGCTTTAGAGAGAGACGAGGGTAGGAAACGCTCTCATGAGAGGGAACACAAGACTAAAGCAGCATAAGTGGATGGTCTCGCTGTGAAAGAGAGTGGACGTAGGAGAAAAAGATAAGAATCCTCTCGAACAGTGCTTTGCAGTAGAAATATAATGTGAGCCACATCTGTAAGTTGACATTTTCTAGAAGCCACAGTAAAGGAGTAGAAAGAAACGGGTGAAATTAATTTTAAGAATGTCTTCTATTTAACACATACATTGAGAATTTTATCCCTTCAACGTGTAGTCGGTATAAAACTTCTGAAGGAGATGTTTCACATTCTTACTTTTGTATTAAGTTTACGAAACCCTGTGTGCATTTCGTACTTATAGCACCTCTCGAGTTGGGTTTCGAGTGGGTACGAGCCACACGAGGCTGGGAGCTTCCATTCTAGAAAGCATAGGTGTGGAGCCAGAGGAAAAAGATCATCCAAGGGACTGAGAAGGGGATGCTAGAGGAAGAGGAGAACCAGGAAAGAAAGTGTTCCAGACCTGGGCAAAGAGTCTTTCCGGAAGGGGGGTGTGGTCATCAGTGGGAAGCACAGCAGAGGTCAGAGGTGTCTGTTTGAGTGAGAACTCAGCGGACATGGTTGGAATTGAGGAATCCCCAATTCCAGAAAGCTGCCAGAAACTGTGAAAGCTTGGGTTTTGTGTGCAACCGCAAGGAAAAGAAGCAAGGAAGCCTGATTTCAAATATGAATGCAAAGAAAAAGATATGTTCATTTCTTTAGAGGTACTCCCAGTTTCCAAATCCATATATTAGCATTTAAGATGATTTCTTCTTTATGTGATCTCTCCTGGTTTGACAGCAGAAGCCTGAAAAGGTTGCAGTACCTACATGAGGGCAAACAATGATTAATGGCCATCTCAAACCTAACACTGCCACTCTCCATTCTATTTTTCTTTTACTCATTCTTTTATAAATGTGTTTTGAGTGTGGACTATGTACCAGGTGCTGTTCTGGTCTAGATACTTAAAACAACAACAACAACAACAACAACAACAACAGAATAAATAAACTGCATAGTTTTTCAGGGGTAATAAGTGCTTTAGGTAAAAATAAAATCAGCAAGGGGAGATAGGGACTATATAAATAGCCTTCTAAAGAAGTCCTCACTTAGAGGGCTATACTTGAGCAGAGGTTCGAAGGCAGGGAGGTAGTGAGCCATGCAGATACTGGAGGGAGAGTGTGCCAAACAAGGGTAGAGCCCTGAGGCGAGGTGTACCAGATGTGTTGGAGGGACACTAAGGGGAGTGGACACTGGTAGGAAATGGAGTCCGACAGATGGGTGAGGTTAGGAGAGCGTGGGGTGGGAGTTAGTTTTCAAAGGCTGTGGTCAAACCTAAAGATTTTGCCTTTCACCCTTAATGAGAGGAGAAGCCTTGGGAAAGCTTTGAATAGGAAGTGGCAGGATCTGCATACGTATTAAAAGGCCCAGCCTGTCTGCTACACTGAGAATAGACAGGGATGGGGGCAGGGAGTGTGATGAGGATGGAGCAGGGAGACCAGTAAAGAAGCTGCTGGAAAAATCCAGGCAAGAGATGCTGGTGGGAAGCAAAAGAAGTCAGCCGCCGTGAAAGGCTACATGTTGTATGATTCCGCCTATCTGAAACATCCAGAAGAAGCAAATGTACAGAAAGTAGATGAGTGGTTATATAAGGGTGAAAGAAATGGAGAGCCACTCTAATGCACACAGGTTTTCTTTTGGGGACAATGAAAATATTTTAAAATTGATTAAGGTGATTGTTTCACAACTCTGTGAATGCACTAAAAGCCATTGATTAAATCACATACTTTAAATGGATGAATTATATGAGATGTTACTTCTACTGCATAAAGCTGTTTTAAAAAGAGAAGTGATAGGATTGTGAGAATGGCAAGCTGCTGGAAATATTTTGAGGGTAGAGCCCTCAAGGTTTGCTGGTTGAATGAAAGTGCGAGGAGGTGGAGAAAGGACATGACAGGAGCGAAGGGGTGATTCTTGAAGCTTAACGAAAAGATGAAGTTGAAGGAAGGTTGTGGAAGTAGCTGGTTTGGGGGGATAGTTTAAGACTTCTGTTTGGGTCATGTGAGATAGCTTTATAAAAACGTGACTTTGGTAGTTCTACATACTGCAGATGTTATATATATATTTGTATTATAAATACTTTCTGATTGTAGAATTAGTGTCTGCTACGTGCAAAGAGATGAGCGTATTCCTATTTCATGGTTATTTAATCATGATGATTTGTTAATAAATCAAAGTGATTAATAGTGCTGTGACTAATAAACAGCATTGAAATGATGATGTACAGAAGACTGTAAAACAATCGTCACAATGAGTAAGACAATAATGTTCTATTAGCAAATCAGTGTGGGGAAATACTGCTGAAAAGAAAAGGGGGTTGCTTTCCTGGCTGGTGGTCATTATTGGTCTACTTATCATGTGATATCAAAATTATTTAGTAGCCCCCTGAATGTAACTTCTAGTTCCCTATTCTATAAACTGCGGAGTTGTTCGTTTTTATCTCTCATATATACTCTTTGGTTTTCTCTAGGGAGAGAAATAAGTTCCACTCATTTCTGCTGAGCCTTGGCTGGAAAACTTACATCAGCACTCTGTGGGGCTCATTTTTAACATATTTATGGGTGTCACGGTGGATGCCCAGCAAACACTCTGTATGGCGATGCCTGCTTACAAAATATGAATTGTTTTCTGTATCTTTGGGACTCGGAAGAGGCTGAGCCAGCGCAAGTGTATAAAAACTAGCATGGCAGCTGTCCACTGACATGACATGGCTTCTTTATGAGTGTATAAAAACAGTACGTTTGGGGGCGCCTGGGTGGCTCAGTCGGTTAAGCGTCTGCCTTCGGCTCAGGTCATGATCCCAGGGTCCTGGGATCGAGCCCCGCATCGGGCTCCCTGCTCAGCGGGAAGCCCGCTTCTCCCTCTCCCACTCCCCCTTGCTTGTGTTCCCTCTCTCGCTGTGTCTCTCTCTGTCAAATAAATAAATAATATCATTTAAAAAAAAAAACAAAACAGTACGTTTGAGGGGCACGTGGGTGCCTCAGTCGTTAAGCGCCTGCCTCTGGCTCAGGTCATGATCCCAGGGTCGTGGGATTGAGCCCCGCATCGAGCTCCCTGCTCGGCAGGAAGCCTGCTTCTCCCTCTCACACTCCCCCTGCTTGTATTCCCTCTCTTGCTTTATCTCTGTCTGTCAAATAAATAAATAAAATCTTAAAAAAAAAAAAAAATCCAGAGAGCCTAGGTGGAGGTAAATGCGAGTTCCACTATGCATTTTTCTCTCTTTTTTTTTGAAAGAAAATCCAAGTTAATGTCCCCCCTCCCCTTGTGCCTTTGCAGAGAAGAGAGCGAGAGTGTGCTGACGCTGAAAGGCTTGACCCCCACGGGCATGCTCCCCAGCGGAGTGCTTTCTGGAGGGAAGCAGACACTGCAAAGCGGTAAGCAGGCCCAGTGGTACGAGTGTGTGCGGGGCAGCTCAGGCCGCGGGGTCCTTAGAGCCCTGATTTATTCACCCACGTTAAGGGCGGCCTCAGTCTTCAGCTCTTCTCAGCCGGAAGAAGGGCTGAAACCCCCCATCAGTTTGACCAGTCTTGTTGGACAGAATAGCTCCCTCGTCCCCGGACTGCAGTCTTCGCCCCCACCCACTGCCCACCCCGCCATCGCCCGTGTACGCAGTCACCGCACCTGCAGGCGCGGGACAGCCCACTGAGGTTGGCCACACGCGGGATAGCTTTGACAGCTTTGAGCCATTCCGCTGCTAAAAACAACTTTTTAAATTACGTTTCTGCTAAATGTTCTGGCTATCTATGTGATTGAAAAAAATAAATCAATAAACACACGCGTAAATACACGGCCCTAGGTCGCATTGTAGTGGAGAACGGAAGGCCATCAAAAGGGTGACTTCATTATCTACTTGAATAGAAGTTGGGAGTCATATGTGTCTTTTCTCTGATTTCTCCATCCAAAACATAAGAGACCGAGTAGAACCACATTGCATTTTTGAAAAAATATCTTCTTTTAAGATAGAGATTTTTTTTTTTTTTAATTAAAATGTGTAGCTTTCCGGACTAGTGCTGTCTAGTAGAACTTTTTGTGATGATGGAAATTTCTGTATCCGTACAGAGGCCACTGGCAACATCTGGCTATGGAGCACTCGAAATACAGCTAGTACCACTGAGAGACCGAAACGGGAGTTTTTATTTCAGCTAATTTGTATTAATTTGCTTTACATAGCCACATGTGACTGATGGCCACCACATCAGACAGCAGAGCACTGTATATTCTTTTACGTTTGTGATTTTGTCTTGCTATCTATTTTAACCAATACTATCATTAATTAGAGTCCAATTTTAATAATACATGATGAAAATTTGCTATTAGATTAGACTTTAATTAAATCAATGAGTAAAAAATCAATAAAACAAAAATCCGTTATAACATTTTGAAAACTAATCTCAGCCTCTTGCTTATTTTCTCATATCTTTCCCTGAATCTTTTTTTGTGTTTTTTTTTTTTCCGTATCTCTGTCCTTCAATCTAGAAGATACAAGTATTCCTATGGTTACATGATTTAGACACACCTCTTCTATGTAGAGAGTCATGCTCAGCATCACTATAGTTTTCTTTATGTTCACATGAATTTATTCCAAAATCAGTGTCTCTGGTTTCCACAAAAAGACACAAATTTGTAAATGAAGATAGGACAATGCATAGAAGTCAATTTCCCCTTGAATTTGTAACTAAAAATTATTCTAATAACTTAAAAAAAAAACAAAATTTCTCCCACCAAAATAAACATGCTCTCTAAAAAAGTTAGCATAAATGGATCATTTGTATGCACAAAATGCACAACTACCTAAAAGACTGAAATCTGCATAGTTTCTGATAAGCACATTTTTAAGGTACAGCGAGTGTATTATCAGAGACTATGGGTCACATTTGCTTTGGAAGGATACATTTAATAATGGGCAGTGCATATTACTGATACGTTGGTGCTGGTGTGGTTCCAGATTTTTGCTTTATTTTTGAAATTAAGTTATTTAAGTTCTTAAAATTCTTTGTTTTGTTTCTAGATTTTCACTTGTATTTTAAATTAGGTTATTCAGTTTTCTTTTCTGTTACTTTATGTTGAATCCGTTGGTTTGTGTTATTCTGTGTTGAACTCTCGCATGCACAAACACATACAATATAACAGACATATAGGCTGGAACCTCATGCATCCTGAGAACTTGAAAACGCAATATATATTTTAAACCACATCCATTAAAACAATTTCAAAATCCACTGCCTGGATTTCAAATTGTCAAAAAGAAGAAACTGCTTAAAGCTTTACTGTTTAGCTTTTCTCCATGGTGGTAAACATTTTACATTCTTATCAGAAGGAATTTAGAATGCACTGTAAGGAAATTATAGTGCACATTTGGCAGTTGCTCTAGTTTTAAAACCTTAAATTACAAGAAATATGCAAATTAGAGCCAAGGGGTAGAATTTTAATATTAAACATTTTGGAGTTACAGAGAAGTTTTGCATTTTAGCCCTTAATTAGGGAAATATCAACTAGCCTTAATAACATGGAAAGATTCATACACCTGTATTAGTGAGAATATAGACCCTAACCTTATTATGAAAATTGCTAAGAAAGCAGTGGGCTTTTAAAGTGTTGCCTCTGAAATATGCTGAGGTTTCAGTATTTGAGCTGCCTCTTTAAAATTCTGATAGAATTATTACTGCAACTGACATGTTACCACTTGATTATAGTAGCATTTCAAGAATTTCCTTTCCATAGATGGTATTCCAGTAAGGAAAACTGACTTTAAATTGGGTTCCCTGGCAAAGGAAGTCCAGTCTATATATATTGTTGCCCACCTTTTCCCCTTCTCTCTCACCACTCCAGACAAGCTCTGTGTTTGTCTTTAAAGGAGTTACATGCACTATCAGCTCGGATGCATTGATTTTATTCTTCCTCTAGATTCGCACACACATGTGCACACTCTACTTTTCCACTGCACTAGGAATCACACTATTTAATATTAAATAGTGTGAATCATCCCACTGATATTATGACACTGCTTCGAGTTGTGCCATTTTGTCTGGCATTTTCAAATCATAAATCGCCAGGCATAGTAGTGGTTTTATTATACGTTCTGTGTCAGACTAAGATTGACCTAGTCTCTCACTGATTCAATCTAAACAAAAGAAAATTGTCCTGTTTTTCAAAAGGGTTGACCATGTTGTCATTTATTTCATGAACAAACACAGTTCACTCAGATTGGTGTATCCAGCTCATAAAATAAACTTCTCATTTTTGTCATGTTTTTTCCTTTCTTTTTACCATTTCTGTTTTGTTGTCTGTGCCAGAACCCAGCACTTACAGGAACATTAATTCTCTGAGCTCCCTTGATCGTCACTGATTTGTTCTTAGAGTTAAAAATCCTCTGCTCATTTTTCTCATTCATTTTGCACCCCCTTTCTTCTCTTCAGCTACTGTTGAGGCTATTGAGGCTGATGAAGGTAAATTGGCCAGTCCCCTTTCTGTTGTACCTGCAACAGATAAGGGCTCTGCTGGGTGTATTCATTTTTTTATTTATTTTTTATTTTTTTGCTGTAGCTTGTACAGAGTGTGTGGGTGTTGGGCTAACAGTTGTGGCTCAGTATTAACCAAAATGTTCTTGCTTTAAAGGGGAAAATGTCCTTTTATGGTTTGTTTGTTTGGTTTTTTTCCCCTTAACGCTATGTTTGACTTTGTACACAACGAACCCAGTGTAGTCACAGAAAACCAAAGGATTACATATCTTGAACGATGTGGGGTGGGAGTTATGGCAGCTGTTTGGACAAATATCACATAAAATAATATTCTTTGAGCTGAACCATGTCCCTCCCTCGAATCATTTTCAGTCAGCACTGAAAAGAAGAGAGGAAAATAGCTTTATTAAATCTCGTCTCCAGAAGTTTCTAGCCAAAAAAAAAAGTGTTCATTTGAATAGTGCTTTGTTGTAGTTCAACATTAATTTATGTCTCAAAAAAATATTCCAACGTGAGACAGCTATGTCTGAGATAAACAGTTCTGCTAGTCTCACAAATTTTAACCTGCTGGTATTTGTAGGACGGTTAGCACCGTTAAGATATTATAAAGAGTTCAAAAATCCCCAGTGGTTGTGGCCGTGGCCATGACAAGAACAGTGACTGTCCAGTCCTCACTCAGTTGATGGTTCACTGAGTGTCTGCTTGGCGCCGGGCACGGTGCTAGGCGCTGTACAGAGAATCAGGAATTGTACCCCACCCACTGTGTCCTAGCGCTGCAAGAGGACAACTGCGTTGGCCCTCTAGAAGTTACTTTTGAATCAAGTGCTTGAGCAATATACAGTTATGAGAGGACTGCCTATCAAAATAGTTTTTAATATTATCCATACCATACCCTCCGGAAATTTTAAAAAGAATACTTTGAAGTTCCCCTTTAAAACAAAATTCTTCAGTTGTATTTTGTTCTTGCAAGATCACTTTTTTTTTTATTTTTTCCCAAAATTGTGTGCATATGGTCCTTCAATCCGATGTAAAAAGTGCCACTTTAGACTGTCGAATTTGCATATGATTTGGTTACGGTAGGGGAAATGATAGCCCTGTAAGAGAAAATACAACTGCTTCCTAAATAGCAGTGAATAAACTGCTATTTATGTGGGAATTCTCTATTCCTCTTGGCAAATTCTAATCTGCAGTGTGCATTCTTGTTGATAGTTTGGCTGTTTTCTGTGGTTTCTGTGACTCTGTGTTGTGTTAAGTATACCACCAATGTAAATTGCTAATACCCATTGTCTGACCAGCAACTACAGCAGAGCACATTCTTCCAGACCAGGGTTAGAGATTTGATTAGAGACGGAGCCCCATTCGGGACATATCCATTGTTCCAGCGAGAGTTTCAATTTCTACGCTCTCACCCTATTGGCTCTTAAAACCCTGGGATGCCTCTTTTACCATTTAAATTAATAAAATCGCTTCATAAATTATCATGTTGACAAACTTCTGTATTTATTCATTATGATGAAATGATATTCACAGTGGTTTAGAAAAAGAATAGAATACCACTTTGTGCCATTATTTTGTCAAAATAATTGAGTATTCAGGGTGGGTGCTCATTAGACAGCTCTATTATTTTGCAGTTTATTACCAAATTAGAGAAGAATTAAGAAGCTTTGCTTTGGGCCTTGGTCTTTCCTCGTTTCCCCATCTTCTTCCTCTCACAGTTGACTAATCACCATTTTGCTAACCTTTAAAATGCAGAGGGGTAACAAACTATTCCGCATCCTTTAATGAGTTTGGAAGCAACGGTGTAGATCTTTTAAGAATCTCATCCATATTAGTGAAAGGCACTGCACATTTGTGTAGGACTGGCTGGCAAAGTTTCAGCTTGAAACTGCTTTCCTTTTTTTTTTTTTTCCCAAATAAGGTGGGAAGGATAAAGGTACCCTGAAATTGTCCCCGATCAGCCATGGAGATGCAGCCCAATTCAGCACTGGTGATTGGCCCTTCAGTATCTGGCTTGCACATCACAGGAAGTAAAGCAAACTGACGTCATTGTTGGTTCCCCGTATGTACTCTGTTTTCAGCTCGCTGGTTGGTGCACCCACTGAAGAAGTCATTAAGTTTCTTGCACAAATGCCTGATCTATCTCTGCAGCACATTAAGGGTTAATGAAAAAAATCAAATATCCATATGCCCCCTTGAGAATGCCATGTTTTCACTGAGTAGGGCCCAAACCAATCCTGTCATTTTTGCTGAAAGTTGTGAAAGGCATTTTCCCCTTTTTCTTGAAGCATCACTTACATCTGCATTGATCTACTAAGGAAGAGTTTTGCTTTGATTTAGGCAGTAATGGTTACCAGATGAACATCCGTTTGACCTGTTTTGCTGCTGAAGGGCGGACAACGTTTTTCTGCTTAGTGATCCAATCTTGGTTTTTCTCAGTTTCTCTTACCTTGTCACCCCCACATGCTTCCAAAGTTGAGTTAGAGAAACAGGAGCTTATAATTTCTTTTTTTTTTTTTTTTCTTCATGCAACTGTTGAGTTGTTTGCCAAGAAAGTCTTTCTGGGATTCTGAGGTGGCATGGAAATGCCCTAAAGTTAATTCCTTTTAGAGCTCCTTTTAGCTTCTGCTCTAAAGCTCTCTACTAGACTTCTAGGCATAGCTCGCCTGACTCTCCTGACTTTGCCATTACTGGTACAGTGGGATAGCCAGAGGAAGGCTATGTTACGGTCTGTCTGAGGTTAGGGTGTCTGATGCAGTGATCATGCCAATGATGTGGCCAGTTGATGTTAAGTCTAGATTCCTGTCCCTGGTAGCAGCTTTCCTCTTCGGATGTCATTGATCTAAACTCTCATGAAGAACCAGAGCAATGTTTACATCTTACTAACTTGAAGAGGACATTTTGGTTGGCAAGAGACATTGGCTGTTTTCCAAACTTTTGGTTATCTTCGGGTATGGTAAGGACTCTGTTGTGTTGTGTTCAGGTCCTGTCATTTTGTTCTCTACTAAAGGATTCCCTCACTCACTGCGAAATCTCTAACCTCACCTGATGCAACAGCTGTGCCCTTTGTTTTCCTCTGGCTAACCTAATTTTTCTTTCTTTTTTTTTTTTTTTAATGATTTTCTGTTTAGCAATCAAAGGATTTTCACCACAACATAAGATCACTAGCTTCGAGGAGGCCAAGGGCTTAGACCGAATTAACGAGAGGATGCCACCTCGCAGAGATGCCATGCCCTCTGACGCCAACCTTAACTCCATCAACAAGGCTCTCGCCTCAGAGACTAACGGCACGGACAGCAATGGCAGTAATAGCAGCAATATCCAGTGACCACTTCCTGTTCACTTTTTTTTTTTTTTTGAGCTGCAGGGCATGATGGGGATTGCTGCATATCAGCAGTTGGATGTTCTTGCCTCTGACGGTAGCTTATTTGCTCTGGGGGCCAGGAATTGGATTCAGTTTACACTATCATTAAAAAAGAGGGAGAGAGATAATAAACTATATTTTGGTGGGGGTGGTGATTAAACACCTCCTTTGGGTATGCCTTTTAAAAATGCTTATAGGAAAAAAAATTTAAAAAAGAAAGCTAATGCTAGTATATACTGCAATGTTAGGGGAATGACCATGTTTTCCTACTGCATTGGGGACTTCTAGATAGGTTAATGAAAGGTCTTTTATTATGTTACTGGACACGAAAACTTTGTCTAATTTCTTACTCTATTGTACGTTTACAGTTGCAGCACTAAAAATGGATGACATCAAACATTTTTAACAAAATGATGTACAAACTAAATAAGGACTATTTATTGATAATGTTTTGCTACTCTTGTCAGACAATGGCTATAAAATGAATTAGGCAGTCTTAAAAAAAAAAAAACAGAAAAAGAAAAAAAAAAAAAAGAATGTTGCAAATTTGTTAAAATGCCAAAAAGGACAGTTTAATTTTGTACAGATTATGCTTACCTCAGGTTTCTTTAGTGTGCTTGAATGCCCTTCTTTCCATATAACACTTATCTTATTAATTTAGCAATGAGTATCTTTTCTTTAAGTTTTAAAAAAACTGGAATAATTACATCTATCTTTTTTTGCTGTTTATATTTAGGGGTTTTTTTTTGTTGATAAATCAAGTCTTGGTTGTGGCTTGCTGAATTAAATATTTATGAGTGGTGCATTTTTAAGTATAGTGAACAAGACACCATATTAAGTACAGTGATAAAGCATCTATATTCTGTAAAAAAAAAAAAAATCTGCCTATGCATGTTTTTTAAGAAAAAAAAAATGGCTGTATCGGCCTGTATGGGACTGCAATGCGCTTAGTGGTCTGACATATACTGGAAATGTATGTATCCTGGCGTACTTTATATTCTCTAAAATGCTTAATGCCTTTGAAATTTTGTAATCAAAAAAGCTTTGAAAAAATCTAAAGGGGAGAGTATTCTTAAAAGTTTTTAACATAAGCTTGTCAGTGCACATATATAGATGGTGAGCATGTTTAGCAAACCTTGTGACATTTAAATAAGTTTGTAGTTACATGTGAAACTCTAAATGCATGGTAACTGTTAATGTCATAATGGTTTAGTTATTTTGTTCTGTTCTGTCAGGTGCCACAAAATATGTACTTTTTTCACTTTTTTCCCTTTGTATATCAGTTACGGGTTACAACTGGCTCATTCTGAAAACCACAACAACAAAAGTCCATTCATATTTTTTAACAATTGTATAAGTGCCCAAGTAATTCACTACAGCCTAAAGCCTTGCCTTTGTAATTTGACTTCTGAAATGTTGGCAATCAAAGCATGCACTTGTAACAATGACAAAGAAAAAGCATTTTATATTACTACTCAATAAAATGTGCATGAACTTAAAGAACTCTCATCCTTTCCCTGAGTCTGCTGAAGGGATTTCTGTGCACAACCACCACGCTGTCTTCGAGGTGCTGGGCCCCCCACCGCACATCACAGATTTACTTATTTAACAGGCTTCCTTCCCCGAGGGCCTGGTGATCTGAGGTGTGGCGCCTACTTCCGCTGGAGGAACCTTGGTGGATTTGTGTCTCAAATCAGACAAGAGAAATAAAGAGCAAATGCCATCTTCTGGCTCCCTCAAATGTGGGAGCCAGTTAAGAAACCAGAGCATTCCTTTTTATTGGAAAAAAAAAAAAATTGTTATCAGGTTGTTTCAGTTGTATTGGATGCCCTATCTGGTCAAGCAAAAAGAACTAAGCTGCTAAGTGCATTTTCATCACGGAAGAGAGTTGCATTTGTATTGATATGAAATTTATATACTGGCGCTCCAGCTCATATCTAATCACCAGAAGATTTAAGATACACCAAATTCCAGTTTGTTTCTAACATTGTCCATTTTCAGTGCACTTTGTTTTATGTAATAAAGTATGCCTGTTATATCAAATAATAAGAATATGGCAATTAGTGATATAGTGTACCAAAACAAAGATGTTCTAGATATATTCTCTGGCAAAGACTATCCCAAATTTATTTTCATGAATACAAACATTTTTCCCCCTGTGGATATTTTTCCACTCTTAAAAAAATGACGTCCAAGGAAAATATTTAGATGCAACTTATTAGAATGATGTGGAAGAAATGGTAATTATTGATACCGAGGTGTTTCTTTTTGTCTTATAACTGCGGAGAAAATATCCTGACCAAAAAAATTCATTTTGGGGATTCTTTTCTTTTACAAATTGTGCTGAGGCAACTATGGCATAGAAATAAACATTTGACATTAAAATAAGCAATTGATGTGAGTATGGCTTGGTCTTTCTGGTCAGTAGTTAGGAAAGTAATACTGTTTATTTTTGCATAATTGTTCAGGCTATCAAAGAAATCAATGTATAACTGAAGTTATTTCTCCAGATGGATAACACCAGTTATTAGAGCTTTCTCCTTCATTTTTAAGGAACCTGTTGAATTCTTGAGTTATTCATGCCAGTGAATCTTTGGCCTTACACCCAAACACACACACACACACACACACACACACACAGAAACAGCCTCCTGTCCCCTCCTTCACCACCCTTAAGGTGACTTAACCTCCTAAGAAGTTCAGAGTCCATGCTGAGTGGTCATCTTGCTTCTTTTTTTCTTTTTTTAAAGATTTTATTTATTTATTTGACAGAGACACAGCGAGAGAGGGAACACAAGTAGGGGGAGTGGGAGAGGGAGAAGCAGGCTTCCCACGGAGCAGGGAGCCCGATGTGGGGCTCGATCCCAGGACCCTGGGATCATGACCTGAGCCAAAGGCAGACGCTTAACGACTGAGCCATCCAGGCGCCCCAGTCATCTCGCTTCTTAAGGAGTCAGAGCTAGATTTGACCGACCCTCAGTTAGCACTATTTCTTATCCAAAGTATCCTCTACTTTTATTCTTTTAAAATATTTTTGAAGAAGAGAAAGAAAAATCTTCAGAGACTAAACTTGTATGATGAGGGGAGCAAAGTGGAGTGGTGGGGGACATCTCTGCACATTGACATTGGCATGCCTAGAGCGTCAACGTGGAAGCATCTTGCCCTGTCAGCCCAGAACGCGTCATGGTGATGCTAAAGCCTCCAGAGTGCTCTTGTCCTGAAACATTTCTTTCCCTCCCACCCCACCACATTCATGTGAAGTAATAAACCTGAGTATGCATCCATCTTTCTGCCTAGAAACCAGGGCCCTGACGTGAAGTCAGCACCACAGATGGGACAGTGGGAATGGCCTTCCTAAAATGTCCAACACTTTTCCTTGACTACTTCATGTCCCAATCACTGGATCCTTCTTGTCACACTCAGTTAAGAAGCAGGGACCTTGCAGTTTGCCCTGGCTGAGTGCCTATGTTCCTTCAAGACTGGAAATCCTTGAGTTGGACAAATCTGAGATCCCCAAACTAAAGATACGTCCATTTCCCTTGGTATGTGGCTTTCCACTTAATTCATTCAACAAACATTGAGCCTCTGCTATGTTCTCTCACTGTTCTCCTAGGTTCTTATTTTTTGTACACACACACACACACACACACACACACACACAAAAGGTGGCAATCATGACAACATACCAGTTTTTGCTATGACGTTAAATGTTAACGTAGTGAATCAATGTCTGGCTTAACACTGCTTTTTAATGCCATTTTTACTCTATTTCATGGATATTCTTTTTTGATATATTTTATGGTAATATTAACCATAAAAGCCCCTGATGAGGCCCTTTCATGATAAATTCACTTTTTTTTTTATAAATGCATATGTAGTAATGGGAGGCAAGAAGTCGGGAAAGAAATGTTGGACCTATATCTGGTGATCACGTTTTCAAGAGGCAACATTGACAAATTGGAATGCGTGTGGGAGAGTGGAAACCCAGCAGGGTAGGAGAGTTGTTTTAAACAAAGATTGAAGAAACCTAAAAAGTGAACAGAAGTTGACATGATAGCTATAATATTAAGTTGGTTATTCCAATAAACCTTGCTTAAATCAGAAAGATGCCTACTTGTCATAAAGAAGAAGTAGTTAATGAATGAGCCTGTTTAACAGAGAGTAAACTACAGGAGAATGTGGGTGCTTCCCCTTCCCCGGAAGTGTTAAAACCTAGTCAGACTTGATTCAGTGCCCCAAGCATCTCCTGAAGGATGCTGCATGGAAGGAGCTGTAGTAGACATAGTGGAAGCGGTTCTCTTCAAAGATAACATCAAAATTACGCTTCTACAGTAGGATCCTAAATATCCATTCAATCATTCAGTTTCCTGAAAGCATAGAACTCTGATTTGCAGGCTGTTCCCTAGAACCCTGTGTTTATAGGAATACTGCCATGGGGCTGAGTGTCCTGCATCAACCAAAGCACCCCTTTCATCTATTTTGCACATTGAGCTTCTATACAAGCTGTCAGCTGAGACGTGTCTCCACTAGATTAGCAAAGCCCAAAACTGACTGATGTAGAATATTAGCTCAGAACAAAGTCCCCTTAAACTCCAGTCCTAAGGCATTCTTGTCAAGTTATATTTTGAAGTCATTTTATATCCAGTGCTGGGGATATCTAGTTTTCTTCCCAACAGCATCTTCTTGTCTGCAAGACTGAGTCCAGCCTCTTCAAGGTGGTATGTAAGGCTGTTCACAATCCACATCTCACCAGCCTCATGTATCCCCACTTTTCCCAACTTGACGCTGGGCTCCAACCGTGCCAGACATTTCACAGTGCTCAGAAAACACCAGGTTTCTTTAAGGCCCTAAGTCTTTATTCTTATGTCTTCTATGTCGAATGATCTCACCTTTGTAGAGGTCAAATTTGCCTTAAATACTCAGACAAGGCATTTCCTCCTCTCTAAATGCCATAGTATCTTGCACTATCTCTATTTCAGCACTTAACATACTGTGTATAATTGTTTATTGTCTTTGACTCTTCAGTGAGAATTCTTGCTTATCTTTTTTTTTTTTAATCAGCATTTAAGAGTGCGTGGCATAATGTTCTTTGGGGAAAGAGCAAGTTGGGAAAGAGAAGAAAAATGTTTTCCAGCATGATCTCACAGAGCCCAAGTGTCAAATCTTTACTGAACAACAGCTGACACACTTGTCCTAGTTCAGCATGTTCCACTCGTTCTCAATAAGAGAAGGTCTGGAGTGAAGTCTGTATTTTAATAAGTATCCATCAAAATTTTTATGATCAGAAAAGTTCGAGAAACCATGTCCTAGTTTATTTCTATAGCAAATTTAAAATTCAGTCCTATTGTTCCAATTCAACAGATGATCCTACATGGACAAATATTTTATTTCTTAAAATTTTGCCACACAGAATTGTGCCTAATGAATTTACAGTTGCTTAATAAATAGGAATTTAGATGAAAATGTGGGAATTATTTAAGTATTCATGTAAACCTTAATATTCACTATTAGCCAGGTTATGGGGAGAAGGCAGTGGCATTTTTAAATTTATAATACTCCACCCAGAAAAGATTAGGGTGGTAAAGCATCTGGACGCTTCTCTGAGAAAAATCAATAAAAAAGCCCCATGTGTCTTGAAGAGAATGAAATGCTTTCATATTGAGGAGACTGCTTCTTTCACACCACCCCTCCCACTATAACAACCAGCTTGCCAAAATTTGTTCAAAAAATGTTTCCTGAATGTATATCCAACACAGTTTACCTTCAACAATCTCATAATGTGCTTGACATTTTACCGTGAAAGAGACATTTCTTTGGGTTCAGCAGCACTTTCTCCAAAAGTCCATTATTAAGAAATACACATTAGAGAAGGAAACCACAATCATTGTCAGTTGCTAACGTCTTAGTGTGAATTAACTTATCGCAGTTCTGCCAAGGCTGGTCCAAGGCTGATAAGGATGGGTGTGTTTGTAGAGAAGGGAAGGCTACAGCCGGATCCTGGGGTAGTACAGACAGCAAGCTGGTGGGAGCTCTGGCAGTCAGAGAGGATGGCTGCCCATTGATCAACGGGTGCATTCATTGTGTCTCTGTGCTGGGCACATGCCAGCAGAGAGGAGAACACAGTGAAATTCAAGACCGTCTCTCCTCTCATGATACGCAGTCTAGTGAAAATAAAGCCATGTTTTGTGCCACACACGCTCAGTTCTGCGTAATGCTCTCTACATCAGTTCCAGTCTGGAGTTAGACCTAGGTTGGAATTTTTATAACTCTGCTACTTAGTGGCTGTCTGTGTGACCTTGAGAAACTTACTAAGCTTCTTTAAACCTGATTTGTTCTTTGGTAAAAATGAAGACAGTAAGAGCAATTAATTCGTAAACTTTCCATAGAGATTAAAAAGGACAGAGCAAATAAGATACTTATCATGGTGGCTGGCAAAAACTAAGCAATCAATGAACTTCAGATTTTGTTGTGGCATTCAACAACATGCTGCATTGCATGAGTGCTTACAATCAATATTCTGTAGATAAAGATTGTGTGTGTGTGAACATGTATGTGTGAATGTGGTCAGGGTTGGACAGGTATGCGTAGTCAGAAAATTCTCCTAGAAGAAATGGCCTTTGGTTGGAACCTTCCTATGAGGGTGGTTTGGTAGAGGAAGGAAGTTGGGGGAGGGAGCAGAAGGCACTCCAGACTCGGAGAAAAACTAAGAGCAAGCGAGAAGATCCAGGAAAATAGTGATACGTCACCTGCTGTGGATAAAGCATAAGAGGGGTGGGGTGCACAAGAGAATGGTTGGCAACACCAGTTACTCGTAGCAGGAGGTCTTTCAGCTGCAAATAACCGAATACCTGATTAACTGAGCTCAAACCATAATGACATGTACAGTTACTGACAAGAACATCTGGGACTATTTGGTCCTAAGATTCGTTTGGTGGCTTAACATTATCAGCAATGACCTAGGTTCTTTCCATGCTCCTTCTCACACTTTTTTGCTTTTGGCTTCAGTCTTCATGGTTGCAAAGGACTGTCACAGCTCCTGGAGTGATTTCCTAGCACAACACCACCTGCCTACTGGAAGATACCACCAAAATAACCTATAAATAAAGCAAAGCCAAATTTCTTTCTTATCACGGTCCTGTAACCCCTACCTTTGCAAAGCCATAGTGAATCTAAAGGAGCGAGGACAAGGCGTAACACTTATGAAGGTTTTTTTGGCTATGGCGTATCTTTCTCTGCAGGAATCTAATAAGGATTAGGCAAAGTGTAAGATATAATATTTTAAGATTGGTAGAAGCAGCAAAGGGAAAGTTACTAAGTGAATTTTAAAGAGTAGCAATAAATATTTGGGTTAAAGTAATGGACTTTTTTTGGGTATCGTAACTTATTTA